CATTTACACCATCATTCACTCCAGCACTCTCTTGCCAGAGGGGTGCCGATACTACAGTTCAAAACTGTGTAAATAATCCTTTCTTTACTTTACTGATTTCTATGAAAAAATAGGTTCAAGGTTCCAAGTATCCCAGGTACAAACTATATGAATACAATCTGTATGTGTACGTTTGAAAGGCCACTCTAAGTTTTTCCTTTGTATTATCATATTCAAGGAAGCACTAAACCTGTAGAGAGGTGGTCATACAGTGTCTGGTAAGTAACCAGACTTGATTCTGAGGGTAATGCTAATTCCTTGGGTCAAAAGTCCTTCACCAGCATTAAGGCACTCCTTCCTAGCCTGGAAAGGGTATTTTGCTAATAAATTTATTTGCTATGTTAGAAAAATTTGAGACTTCTGAAAAGGGCACTAGTAGAGATGAGATGATGTAACCAAACAAACCTAATTCTCAAACTTATGCTGAATATATATTAAAGATGAAGTGATAAAAAAATGATGAATGACACCATTGGTTCTGCAGGTTACTGCGTTTGCTGCTACAATGACACCATTGGTTCTGCAGGGTATTGTGTTTGATGCTACAATGACACCATTGGTTCTGAAGATTACTGTGTTTGATGCTACAGTGAGTTTATTTCAGGTGTCATGACACTAAATACCCTCAGTCTTGAAATAGGCTCAACTTGGTTTAACTTTGTAAATAGTTTTAGAAAATATAAGACTGCTTCTTCACCCTAAGTGCAAGAACCTTCCTGAAATTTCTTGTAATGGGAATATGCCAATTAGCATCCTTTAGAGGTATGGATGTCATCCACATAGCTTGACAAAGGACCCAATGCAGTGACAAGGTAGTAATCACCCTGAAATGAAGAACAAGAATCAGCATATTTAGATATATTATCATAAGAAACACTGTTCCTTCATCTGACCCCTTGGAAGAACAATACTAATTAAATAAGGATGACAACAGCTTCTCAATTTGTGTTTGCATTCACTTGTTTCTGGAGCATTTTTAACATACTTCATGATATTTGATCTAGGGTTGCTCTACCTAACTTGGAATTTAGGTAAAAAGTGGGTATCTGGGCAATTTTAAGGACAAGCCCTCTAAAACAAATTCAGACCCCATGGACTCCTGGCCTATGTACGGCAGAACTGCCTTAGCCTGCCTCAAACTGAGTAAAAGCCATTAATTCTTGGAAGCATTTGCCAAGCATAAATATTTTACTTTAAATGGGACAGTCTTTAAGGGACCTTTAAAATGGGATTGTCTAACTCTAAGGAAAAGCTTCCTTAGGAAAAAAAGAGAAAAAGACAAGAAAGATTAAGTCTTGTTGTTTAAAGGTAAACAAATATGTACTGTATTTTTTTATTAAGCCTTTTGAAAAATGGGCCCAACAGCAAAGCTGACATTTCCTTCCCAGAGAAGCCTATCTAAATCATGGTCTAAAGGGAAATTGGAAGTTAGGGACATGGGGGAAAACCTGCTTATGTGAAAATATGCATGCTTTAAAAAGGGTCAAGCTAATGACCTAATGATACAGTACTTAAAAAATTCTAAGGATCCTAGAATGTTGCAGAGGCCTTTGAGGTTAGAACTAGCACAATTTTCTATGAAAGACAAAAGGGTAAATAATTGCACTAAAAAGCCATAAAACGAGCATCAGTTAGTCTTTTGAGCTAAAGCCTCATTACTACTAATGGTCCTAAGCAGTGTCCAAAACAGATAAGGCTATGGATATGAATGTTTTGAGGAAAAGGGGACAGCTCTAAAACATTCAGAAACGTGATGCAAAAGTGAATCTATCAAAGCAAAAGCAAAGTACTTGGCCTTTTAATTCAGATCCTGATTGAGGAAAATTGTCTATCCTTAAGAAAAATTCCATCAAATTAATTTGTTTCTCAAATCTTATCTTTTAGAGTTACAGATTTCAGATGAAAACATTAAATATACTATTTTAATCAATATTTCACTGTTACTTGTACTGTATATGTATGAATATTCAGCCAAAAAAAAAAAAATGTAAACTATTAATCTAAACTTGGTATCTTCAGACCCTTCTTTATTACTGGACCATATCACCAGTCTAGCATTTAACAGAAAAAGTCCAGATGAAAGGAGGGTGAGGCAAATGTTGAGAAGAGTATTATGTGAATTTTCATCCCATGTGTACATGGAATATCAATTCACAACAAAACCACATTTTGGAGATAAATCTTTAGACAATTTAGCTCCACTTTGTGGGTTGACTGTAACCTGTTCAGCCATGGAAGTGTGGCCTTTATTCTTTTTTACAGAATATCAACTTACTATGACAATATGTTGACTCTGGATTGCAATTCTACATCTGTTCTGCATGCTGGAGACTGTATTGAGGAAGATACTTAGGTAATGAGGGTTAGAAGGTGTTATACACAAAAGGCAATCCACTGGTATCTTTTATGTGTGAGTCACTAGAAGCAGGAAGCAAATCACTGGGAAGTGTGTGTGCTTCACTCACACAAATACATTTATTATCAAGTGTCAAGTTGCATATATATAATACACAGAGTGAAAATGATAGGAGAGGAAGGGAAATAGCAACACTGAATGCTTTAAGCTCAGGAGGCCCTGCCACTTGCAATGCTCAGCAGTTTAATTGTAGCAGGGCAACATTTGTTCAAAATATTTGTTCAAAAGAGAATTATTCCTTGCTGTAATGTGTATGGTTACAATCAACATAATGGCATTAATGGCTTTGGTTTAATATAAAACAAATATTATGCTCTACCTTGCATGAGACATACAGATGATTATCATTTGTTGCAGGAACCAACCTTTTGCTGCAACCCTCAGAGCTATCATTCACAATGACAATCATGCATTATACTGTAATTACACAGTTCCCATTACCTCAAGCCCTACAACACTTATGTCAAGACAACTGGAAGAATATATACTGTACAGTGCATATATAGTTTTGAGGATTGAAAAATGCCTTTTCTCATATAGGAGTCAATGGCTTGGTTTGCAATGCTCTTGTCTCACACACTGAATGTCCATGGTTTGATCCCCGACATATGTGGAAATACTGGGCTTGTTTCCTACACCTGCTGTCCCTGTTCACCTAAAGTAAGTCGTTAGTCAACTGGCGTGGGTCACATCCTGGGGGACAAGACTGAAGGATCCCAACAGAAAAGACAGGCAGTCCTCGATGATGTACCAACTTTCATGGGTTAGCCTGGAAGACTAACTTTCTGGGTTAAAAATCCAAACAAATCTTATGTTAACTAGAAATACTCATACCCTTCCTCCAACACGTACCACCTACTAGTAAGGTCACTTAGACACTTCTCACTTGGTGTGCCTCCCTCCACCTGAGTTGCTCTCTTTTTGCTGAATACCCCTTTTCTACAAATTTCCTCAGTCAGACCCAGTTGTGTGTGAGGCCAGATTACAACCCATGCAGAGACAGTTGTCATGAGGTGGTCTTCATGGGTCACCAAACTCTACACAGAATAATATTTTTTTACGGATTAATGGATTCTGATATTTCAATTTAAAATTCTACCACCAGAACCCCAAATCATGTTGGAGTCAGCACCATAATATGAGCCAAATATTAAAAAAAAAAAACTTACCTTATTAGGAGCTAAGCTAATATTCCAGGAAGACTTAAGGGGCTAAAGAGCTCAGATGTGCATAGTGACTTACTCCTAATTTACATGCTATTCCAGAAGTTACAAATCAGTGGAAGCTGAATGTCCACAGGCAATGAACCTGACACACCCCTTGTGTTATGAGTTCAGACCTTGAGAGGAATCATGGTCTGACCACTGGTAGCAGAGGTGATAAATTCTAATACATACTTTAAAATTAGTGAAAGGTAGGTGGTCAGTCAGCCTCACTTGCTTTAGACACAGGTCAGACAAGGGTAAGCACGTAGTCTTTTAATGCCTCTACAGGGATGAGAATGAAGCTTCCAGGCAATTTTTAAATTGCAATATCTTTTGGAAGACAAGGCATCCAGAAACCTCACTCTTCTCCGACACCTCTGCAGCACTTGTGTCGTGCCCACCAAGCAACTGAGGCTATTGCCAAAGGGAAGACTTTTATGAGAGATGCACAAGTGGTGATTAACCCAAAAATAATGTGACATGGACCAGACTTACTTGAGCACCACCTCCAGCACTAATTTAGATTGATAAAGATATTATAAAAGTACTGTCTTAATGGTATTCATGATCAAATCATATTAGATGGAGAATCCTCTCTGATGCCAAGGTTGCCCCGAGGGTTCCTGTGTAGCAGACATAGCCATCCTCTCATATCTGGATGAGAAACTTTACCACCACAGACTCTAAAATTGGGATGTTACCTATGTCCAAGAAGATAGAAACTATAACGCTTCAAAATTGAAATGTTCAAATTCATTGTTTAAAATAACTCAATTGTACTTGATATTGTAAATTGTCAACAGTAACTGTTATTATTAAACCTATTATGGCTTAGATAGTCTTAAGTTAATTTTAAGCCTGCCCATAATGCTCTGCATACAAGGGAATTTCGACATGTACACCCAACTATAATACCTTGTACAACTATGTATCATGTCCTAATAAAAATTATTATTATTATTATTACATATCTGTTTAACCCATAAACGGTCCAAACATATATATACGTTCTTACCGCTAGTGCCCCAACTGTAAATAAACGTTTTATTTCTCCTGCCTTCAAATATGGCATGCTTGGCCTGAGATGCCTTGTTAGCATAGAATGGGTCACAACACTCAGTGTGCACTGTATTAAAAAATCTGGGACCACTTAGTACCTTGTGGGAGCACCAGTTCGAATGAGCGCCAGCTAGAGCAAACAGCGTGGCAAACACCTGGGATTCACTGATTTCATGTAGTACTAACTCCTATTTTAAGAGGAAAGTGACGTTGACCCCGAGTTTAGTGGCTTTGATTTGGATGTGGCCATAATTGGTCGAGGAAATAAAAAAAAAACCTCGATAATAACCCATGTGCAACATTTGTGCAACACCCTTTCAGAATATCTTATAACCTATGCCCTAAGTAAAGAGAAACAATTCTGGAACGTAATACTTGTTCAGCAAGCTGGCTGGCCAGCTGCATGGCTGGCCGGCTGCTGGCGGCCTGGCTTCGTTTGTTTGTCAGTGTCTATCACTGTCTCTATCTTTGTCTCTGTCTATCTGTCTCTGTCTGTCTCACAGGTACACATAAATACAAATATACATAGTGTAAATTACCTAGGATAACCCAAAAAATCCAAACAAAGTGCTATACTCTGCTTGAAGATATGAGTAAACATGATTACGCAGTCTTGTGACTCTGAGACAGAGTTAGACAGATAGATAGACAGGGAGCCTGACAGACAGACAAATAGACAGACAGACATGTTTGTGTACTAGCGAAAACAAAGCGAGGGCCATGCTCATCAAATGTCACCTGTAATCTTATCAATTCTTATCACCGCACCCCTCGCTTATGCTCATCAAATGTCAGCTTTTATCATGTCATTGTCAGGGGTGGACTAAGGCTTATTTTTCATGCTTCAAGGTAACTTATTATTACGTATTATTATTATTCTCTTCTTCTCTTCTTCTCCTCCTTTACTTCCACATATCCAAAACATTGCTGGGACCTATAAATACTTTGTATATATTCCAAGACAATAGTAAATGGCCAAGGCAGATGTAAATGTCCACCTGTCAGTGTGCTTGTGAAAATTTGAGTACAATTTCAGTACATAATAGTAGTATCAGAACAAAGATTGGTTATGAAATGACAAGAACTACTATAAATTGTAATTATCAGAACATAAAAATTATATAAAATAATATGAAAAATAGAAAAAAGGTATATCGGCAACAATTTTGCAAGCGGCAGGACTCGATGTTGCTGTCACGTGAGCATCCAGTGCCAACTTCTCAGCTTCATATCTCTGTAGCACTGATCTTAATTTTTTTTTATCCTATAACTCTTAGAAAAATGAGCTCTTAATTTTCATTAAAAAAACTATTTTTTTTATTTTTCAAAATAGTATTTGGGGCACTGGGGTAGTGAACGTATATATATGTTTGGACCGTTTACGGGTTAAAAAAGTCTCTCTCCTAAGAGAGAAATGAGCTCTTCATAATAAATATAAATGAAGTACAATGGCTTAAGCTTGCCTGAAATATAGGTAACTGGTTCGCAGAACCAATAGCCTGATGAATTAGACACTTGTGCAATAAAGCTTCTCCTCACTTAACGACAGAGTTCCGTTCCTAAGATCACGCCAGTGAACGAATTCGTCACTAAGTGAAGAGCATATTATAATGGTAGTAGGTTTGTGTCAACCATCTTTGATATTGTTTTAATGACACCTTTGCACCATTTATAACATTTCTTGTATATTTTTAAATGTTTATACAGTAGTGTACTGTATACTATAATAAACAGAATAGAGGAAATCAGCTCTAATATACATAAGTATGCATACTGGTCAGAGAGACTGTCGTAAGTCCGAGTGGTTGGTAAACAAGTACATCAATAAGTGAGGAGAGGCAGTACTGTGCTTGAGTATCTTTACTGAGGAAATGTTTTGCCACACAGTGGACTGAGGAAGCCACTAGTTAGTTAAACATTTCCACAATAAAGATACCTAAGTATTGCAGAAATGTCTAATCTGCCTGAAATGCTCAGCATAACCATGAACTTTCTATATGCAATCAAGTGTCACCCATTTCTGTATAAACAATGTTTTTTTTTTTTTTTTTTCAACAAGTCGGCCGTCTCCCACTGAGGCAGGGTGACCCAAAAAAGAAAGAAAATCCCCAAAAAGAAAATACTTTCATCATCATTCAACACTTTCACCACACTCACACATTATCACTGCTTTTGCAGAGGTGCTCAGAATACAACAGCTTAGAAGCATATACGTATAAAGGTACACAACATATCCCTCCAAACTGCCAATATCCCAAACCCCTCCTTTAAAGTGCAGGCATTGTACTTCCCATTTCCAGGACTCAAGTCCGACTATATGAACATAACCGGTTTCCCTGAATCCCTTCACTAAATATTACCCTGCTCACACTCCAACAGATCGTCAGGTCCCAAGTATCATTCGACTCTATGACCGCGGGTTCAATCCCGGCCGGGGGTATGGTTTAACACGCTCATGCACGCTTGCTGGAAGTCCAAGCCCCTAGCCCACAAAACCTCCTTTACCCCCTCTTTCCAACCCTTTCGAGGACGACCCCTACCCCCCCTTCCTTCCCCTATAGATTTATATGCTTTCCATGTCATTCTACTTTGATCCATTCTCTCTAAATGACCAAACCACCTCAACAACCCCTCTTCTGCCCTCTGACTAATGCTTTTATTAACTCCACACCTTCTCCTAATTTCCACACTCCGAATTTTCTGCATAATATTTACACCACACATTGTCCTTAGACAGGACATCTCCACTGCCTCCAACCGTCTCTTCGCTGCTGCATTTACCACCCAAGCTTCACATCCATATAAGAGTGTTGGTACTACGATACTTTCATACATTCCCTTCTTTGCCTCCACAGATAACGTTTTTTGACTCCACATATACCTCAACGCACCACTCACCTTTTTTCCCTCATCAATTCTATGATTAACCTCATCCTTCATAAATCCATCCGCTGACACGTCAACTCCCAAGTATCTGAAAACATTCACTTCTTCCATACTCCTCCTCCCCAATTTGATATCCAATTTTTCTTTATCTAAATCATTTGATACCCTCATCACCTTACTCTTTTCTATGTTCACTTTCAACTTTCTAACTTTACACACATTCTCAAACTCATCCACTAACCTTTGTATCATCAGTATCATCAGCAAAAAGTAACTGTGTCAATTCCCATTTTGAATTTGATTCCCCATAATTTAATCCCACCCCTCTCCCAAACACAATAGCATTTACTTCTTTTACAACCCCATCTATAAATATATTAAACAACCATGGTGACATTACACATCCCTGTCTAAGACCTACTTTTACCGGGAAGTATTCTCCCTCTCTTCTACACACCCTAACCTGAGCCTCACTATCCTCATAAAAGCTCTTTACAGCATTTAGTAACTTACCACCTATTCCATATACTTGCAACATCTGCCACATTGCTCCTCTATCCACTCTATCACATGCCTTTTCTAAATCCATAAATGCAATAAAAACTTCCCTACCTTTATCTAAATACTGTTCACATATATACTTCAATGTAAACACTTGATCTACACATCCCCTACCCACTCTGAAGCCTCCCTGCTCATCCGCAATTCTACATTCTGTCTTACCTCTAATTCTTTCAATTATAACCCTACCGTATACTTTTCCTTGTATACTCAGTAAACTTATTCCTCTATAATTTTTACAATCTCTTTTGTCCCCTTTCCCTTTATATAAAGGGACTATACATGCTCTCCGCCAATCCCTAGGTACTTTCCCCTCTTTCATACATTTATTAAACAAAAGTACCAACCACTCCAACACTATATCCCCCCTGCTTTTAACATTTCTGTCATGATCCCATCAGTTCCAGCTGCTTTACCCCCTTTCATTCTACGTAATGCCCCACGTACCTCCACCACACTTACATTCTGCTCTTCTTCACTCCTAAAAGATGGTATACCTCCCTGGCCAGTGCATGAAATTACCGCCTCCCTTTCTTCCTTAACATTTAAAAGTTCCTGAAAATATTCTCATCATCTACCTAATACCTCCCTCTCCCCATCTACTAACTCCCCTACTCTGTTTTTAACTGACAAATCCATACTTTCCCTAAGCTTTCTTAACTTGTTTAACTCACTCCAAAATTTTTTCTTATTTTCATTAAAATTTCTTGACAGTGCCTCTCCCACTTTTTCATCTGCTCTCCTTTTGCACTCTCTCACCACTCTCTTTACCTTTCTTTTACTCTCCATATACTCTGCTCTTCTTATAACACTTCTGCTTTGTAAAAACCTCTCGTAAGCTACCTTTTTCTCTTTTATCACACCCTTTACTTCATCATTCCACCAATCACTCCTCTTTCCTCCTGCCCCCACCCTCCTATAACCACAAACTTCTGCCCCACATTCCAATACTGCATTTTTAAAACTATTCCAACCCTCTTCAACCCCCCCACTACTCATCTTTGCACTAGCCCACCTTTCTGCCAATAGTCGCTTATATCTCGCCCGAACTTCCTCCTCCCTTAGTTTATACACTTTCACCTCCCTCTTACTTGTTGTTGCCACCTTCCTCTTTTCCCATCTACCTCTTACTCTAACTGTAGCTACAACTAAATAATGATCCGATAAACAATGTATCATGTAGAAATAAACTGTGAATTTGAATCTGAAAATCAAATGTTTTGAACCCATGAATGAACCCTTGGCCGAGGTCTGAGACTTGTAATAAAAGAGAATCACTTCTTGTGTCATGATCAGTAAGGTTAAAAACCTGTGCAATACAGGAAACTTTGTAAAATATGTGGGCAGTTTTTCATATATATATTATATAAGATAATCTAAAAAACTAAAAAAAAAAAAATGAAAAAATCTGAGTACACTACCATTCCATGAAGTGAAGAATTTGTGATGTGAAGCTTAGTGATGTACAGTACATTGATATATAATATTCAAACATTTCACTGTAGCAATACAGCCCAACTTATCAACAAAATTTGTTACTGGTGTTTCAACTTACAAATAAGCCATTTGTTACCCTGAAACTATTATCCCCTAAAAAATGATAGTAAAACAGGAGAGTCAAGCATCGCATATGTTTGTCAATGCATATCAACATTCATTAAGCAATTATTTTTTAAATATTAAGCATTTTGTACCTCATTCATAAGTTGAATTAGAGTAAGCTGGAATGTTATACATCGAGGGCCCTATTGCTACTGTATTCTGCAATAATAGAATACTGTACGTACTTCTATATGATATCTACTGTTTGTTTTTTCACAGGTACCTACTGATTACACTAAACATAAGGTGATAAGCATTTTATGCACTAAAACCTCTGAATCCAGTACATGTAAGCCAGAATAACTCTTGTCATGACCAGTTTTAGGGAATTAGCCACACTACTTTCACAAGTGTCTTTAAATAGTCTTAAAAAACTCCTGCTGTGATGTCAATATCTCAGAGCAGCTTATCACAAATACCACTGGCATAAACTAATAACAAGAACCCTACACTGTATATGTATTTCAGGTGTGTAGTAGTCTCTGAATTATATTTACAAGAAGTGCTAAGCCCATGTGAGCTTTTCAGCAATTAAAAAAGCGTAATTGTGTGAAATGCTGGAGCCTTGATCTCCTTTTGGGACTTAACCCTTTGACATGAGAAATCCACTGGTTTCACAAAAGTGAGTTTTTTAGACCCCTATATTATGTTTATGGTACTAAAGGTTATGTCCTAGAGTGAGACAAGGTGTGTGTTCTGAAATGCCCATAAAGCTGGCCTCAATTGATTTCCTAAGTAGTATAAGAATTGTTGACTATGAAGAAACTGAAAATTCTGAAGACATAATCTGGACACTGTAACTTAGTCTTCTTGTCTGGCAAGTCCTTAACTTGTTGAAGCAAATGTTTGCTGACGACAACAACCCTCTGATTAGTTATATCTGAACCAGTCATTAAATAATGTTATTAATTATGCCTTGTGCCACAACTACTGACAGCATGAATGAGAAGTTCTCATGTGCACAACTCAATAATTGTGATGAACTGTTGCATGAATAATTTATGTCTTTTAAAGCCTCAAATTTATCAAGTTGAAGATTCCCAGCAAAGATGGGGTAAAATGTGGTGCAAGACTATGTGTTTGTGGGGGTAGGTTAGGTTAGGTTTGTCATGAAACAGGACAAGTGTGTCTTGATGTGGGTCTTAGTCATATGATGACCCACAGCTGGAGCTTGTGGTCATCCAACTGAGACCTTCTGCTGGCTTATCAGTCCACCCCTTTAAAAATTATGGTTATGATTATAATAATTTGCTTTTTTGTGGGTAATAGTTGTAAAACGTAAGTGATGTACTCACACGTTAAGCTTGGCAGCAGACAAAGTCATTTGAAACTGACCAGTTAGTTTAAAGATGCCTAAAGTATTTGGTTAGTACATGATGTCAACCATCCATATGCTAACCCAACACTGCTTCACCTTATTGTCCAGACGAGAAGCAGTGTTTATTGCATGTTACCATGGCCCATTCAGAGTCGGATATATGTAACTCTCGAATCATTCATCATTACTTGAATGTTGAAGGATTTAGCCCTGTTTCTGATTTACTGAACCTAGATTAAAACATAAACTTACTTGCCTGTTTGTATGATCTAGGTGCTCTTTGCTTTGATCTACATATGTGTTTATCTATCAAGAAGAGTGTATAGTGGTACCTCGAGTTTCAAACAGCTTCCAACTCGAACAATTATGTAACTGTATTTTTGTAAGTGCATTTGTAAGTGTATTTTTGGGAGTCTGAAACAGATTATTGTGAGATGCAGATGGAGTGACACAGAGTGAGTCAAATTCGATGGGTTGGCGGCGCTGGTGCGCCGCCTGTAGGTGAGGCGGAGAAACGTGTGTAAACAAAGAGAGCATGAGGCGGAGAAACGTGAGTGTAAACAGAGAGCGTGAGGCCGACGGAACACATATTACCTCCTTAATACGTAAGTTAATAGTCACGTATTCGGCCATCCATACTGTGCCAGTCAATGATATATCAGGGCTAGGAGGTACAACGTGTACTCACAACGTCAGGTTGTGCATCCTAATTTGTGTGTTTTGTCTCTTTGCAGCTAGGAGCATTCATTATGTTGTACCTGAATAAAGGATTACCAACACACACCCGAATGTCTCTTTGACCATGCTCCTAGGTATTAACTTACGTACTACATGGGTTAAGGAGCTGGTGTGGTAGCCTGTCCAGGCATACCTGGTGGTGATGGCAGTCTCGTTGAATTGTGAGGCGGCAGGATGCACAGTGTTGAAGACGGCAGAGGACATGCCAACATGCATTGCACTGATGCAGCTACATCAGAAGAATGTGCATGACACCAGGGACACACGACAGAAGCCGCCCAAAATCAACCCCCCAACACTACAGCAAGGCATCGGTGAAGATGATTGGGCTGCATTTACCCGCTGGTGGGAGATGTTTCGAAATGGGACTGACCTAACACCCAATCAAATCACCGCTCAGCTCCTGGCCTGCTGTGAGCCTGAGTTAGAAGCTGCATTGTTCCGGGAAATGCCAACAAAAGCCAGCAGCCCTGAGGCAGCGGTCTTAGATGCCATGAAACGTCTCACAGTGGTGAGTGTGGCACTAAGTGTGCGACGTGCAGCACTGCTTCAGATGAAGCAGGAACCAGGGGAGCACGTCAGGCAGTATGTGGCGAGACTACACGGGTTGGCCAATGTCTGCCAGTGGACCAAAACTGGGACCTGTAGGGTGGCCACCTGCTCTGGCACCATCGCCACAGACTACACCAAAGATATTGTCAAACTGGTTCTCTTAACCGGTCTGGCAGATGATGACATCAAGAAGGAGGTCCTTGGGATGACAGACATTGACACACGGACACTGAATGAAACTGTCAGTCTTGTAGATACCAAAGAAACCGCTGCCCGTGCCATGGCGACTGAGAACCTATGGGTGGCAACCAGCGGCTACAAAAAGATGGTCCGTGGGCGCTGCAGCCAGGCATCACCAGCGCCCACAGAGGATCATGGTGAGCAGGCCCAGATGAGACACAAGATACGCTGCCAGTGTGGTTCTCTCACCCCCCAGTTTGGTATGGTGAGAGGCAAACTCAAGGAATTTACATTGTGTCTTGGATGCTGGAAAAAGAACAACCCACGTCCCCATAAGTCGTCTCCACCATCTTCCAGTGGGTTGGTGGAGGCACTGTTTCACTATGTGGCTACCACCGAGATAGGCTCCTGCGCGAGTGGGGCTCTGCCTCATCCAATGCTATCTTTAACAGTAGCTGTGGATGGCAAGGCCTACGACATGGTGAAGACACCATGTCCACCACGGCAGTCAGTCCGTATCTTGGCCATCACCGACTCTGGTGCACAGACCTGCCTTATGGGGCTGCGGCCCCTCAAGAAGCTGGGCTTATGCCAACGGCACCTCACCCGTGTCTCCACACGCATTCTGGCCGCGAATAACGTGGAGATAAATGTTCTGGGCGCTGTGTTCCTCATGCTGTCCAGTTGCAACACACAAGGGGAGCAACTCAAGACATCTGCGGTGGTCTATGTTACGGATTCCACTAGCCAGTTTTACCTGAGCTGAGTTGCATTGGAACAGCTGAAGGTTATCGGACCTGACTTCCCAAAATTGGCGCGACAGAAACTGGTGTGTGTGGGAATGTGGCAAGTACATATACCAGCCCCACCATGGCAAAATGCAGGTGCCCACAGTGCACAGCACTGCCTCCCCATCCCTCCAGTCTGCCCATAGCACCATCACTTGAGTCCACGGCTGAGATGAAGGCCTGGCTCTTGGAGAGGTATGCTTCGTTGACCTTCAACATATGCCCACACCAGCTGCTCCCTGCGATGACGGGCCCCCCAGTGGAGATTCGGGTTGGCCCAGGGGTGCAACCAGTGGTGACCAGATAACCCCCAAACATCCCAGTTCACTGGCAACAGGAAGTGTCAGACCAACTGGATAGGGTCGTGGCACTGGGCATCATAGAGTGAGTGCCTCCAAACACACCTGTAACTTGGCTCCACAGTATGGTCCTGACACCCAAGTAGGACGGCACACCCTGTCATACAGTGGATCTGCAACTGCTAAACCGCCACAGTGTGCAGGGAGACCCATCACACCATACCACCCATTAAACAGGCGAAGGCCGTCCCACCTAATACGTTCAAGACCGTCACAGACGCATGGAACGGTTTTCACTCCATTGCGCAATCGGCGGTTCCTGCGCCACATTCAGGGGCTGGCCAATGCCAACCAGCCCTTGCCACCACCACACCCTGTTCCCCCGCCTCCCGACACCCTACCCCCCAGCATGTAGTGCGGCACAGAGCAGTGAGCGGTTTCAGGCACCCAGTGGCGACGTAGCGACCACACCCCCACAGCCGCACAACACAGAGACAACCCCGGAACCACCCATGGAACACGCAGATCAAGCACTCCCACAGGCACAAGAGCCAGCACCCAGCCAGACCGTTGCACAACACACTCCCATATCGCCACCTCCAAGACCACGCAGAGATAGACGTCCTCCAGTGAACCTACTGGATTATGTCACAGAGTGATGAGTTTCCCGCTGGAAACTGGGGGGGATGTGGGATGGAGATGGGGTGACACAGAGTGAGTCAAATTTGGCGGGTTGGCAGCGCCGGTGCACTGCCTGTTGGCGAGGCGGAGAAACCTGAGTGTAAACAAAGAGAGCGTGAGGCTGACGGAACACATATTACCTCCCTAATACGTAAGTTAATAGTCACGTATTCGGCCGTCCATACTGTGCCAGTCAATGATATATCAGGGCTAGGAGGTACAACGTGTACTCACAACGTCAGGTTGTGCACCCAAATTTGTGTGTTTTGTCTCTTTGCAGCTAGGAGCATTCATTATGTTGTACCTGAATAAAAGATTACCAACACACACCTGAATGTCTCTTTGACCAATTACTCTAATTTACAATATTCCTTAAGGAAACAAATTCGTTCGGTATCAGCACTCGAACAGCCTTCTGGAACGAATTAAGTTCGTAACTCGAGGTACCACTGTACTTTAAAACTGTGAAGGAAGATCTCTTTCACTGTTACTGCTTAGTATTTACAGTGAAAGTGACTTGGTTTCAACTGGGAATTCTTGCAAAAATCACCTTGTCCACCAACTCCCATCTGTATCTGATGGATTTTTATGAAGCATTTTGGCATTGAAGAAGTGCCTTTCTTGCCCTTGTACTTTAATCCAAAAAGCCATTAAGCTGTGGTAATTATTATTTCTGTAAAGTTGCATGATTTAGAACATACAGTCACTGGTCTATAAACACTCATTTCCTGCTCTGTTTCAGCTCTTTCCAGTGAACAAAATATTCTCCCTGACAACCAATGAGCAATACTATAAATGTAACTAACATCTTCCTCTAATACTAATGGTTATAATCATAACCATAATTTTTGAAGGGGTGGACTAGTAAGCCAGTGGAAGGTCTTGGCCAGATGACCAAAAACTCCAGCTATGGGTCATTATATGAAAAAGACCTGCATCAAGAAACATTTGTTCCATTTCTTGATGAACCTTGGCTACTCTAACCTAATCTTCCTCTAGTCTTGAGAAGCCTGTAAATCAAATCTAAACACAAGCAAATATAACTGGATACTTTGTGTGTCTGATGCTAACTGGAGAACAGACCTTAGAGAATGGGCAGCAGACGGTGCAAAGAACAATGATGGGTGGATGAAGGAGAGTGGAAGACAGCGGGCTGAGGAAAAACAGGTAATTGGAGAGACCATTGCTGGTGTTGTTGGGGATTTTATGATAAGTTGCTATTTCTCTTAAGTGGCTTAATGAATCTTAACAAATACTGTACAGTATATACACAATGCACACACATAAACATACAACCTTCAAATACACCTGTATATTATCACCTGGAGTAGTAGGCATGGGACCTGCATAACTACACTGTGATGCATGCTGCAGTGGCAGTAGCAATGTCAGGCTGATACTAGTAATTAGTACAGCATTTTCTCTTCAAACTGTTTTAATACAGGTAAAAATTGTGGAAAATGTACATTTACTGCATAAATTGTGCACTTAAGCAAGGAATAATTCTATTTACACATGTTGGTCCATTTCATGTGAATTCTCCCTCACTTGTCAGCATTCTACTGCTCTCTCACTAGCTCTCCCTGTAAAATATCTTCAGAAGCAGCTTGTCAGAGTCCAGCCATCTCACTAAACTTTGTTTGACTGAAGGAAATACTGCCAACAACAATAAAGACAAAGTCACATACAACAGATAAGCCTTTATTGAAACAACATCTTGCTCTAAGTCTCCTTAAAATTGAGAAAGCCCTCCTCAGAGTAAAATGTTGCCCCAATAAACCTTTGTTTTGCTAAGTGTCTCTTTTGTCTCTGATGGTACATGAATAAAAGTAAAAATAACCTGACTTTTAGCATAGCCAGATTCTAGTCAATGCTGTCTTTCACCCAGTGCTTTACTGTGTACCTTACCAGTCACCAGCATGTACACCAACTGTAGAATTACAATCCTGAGTTGACTTATATTCATTAGAAGTTGAAATTCCATGTAAATATGCAAGAGCATATATGCTAAGTTTTGGTTGCATATATTGGAGGTTGTCTACATCTTTCTCTTCTTCACACTCCTCCTTCTTTCTCTCTCTCTCGCTCTTCATAGCATTCCTTATCAGTCCTGAGCATGCAAAACAAGTGTAGAATTACAATCCTGAGTAGATATGGTACAATTATACGTTTATATGGAATAAAGTGACGAAGATTACTTGACAGGGCGGTGACAAGTGGCACCATGTGGCCCCATTTCTTGATGGCCGAGACATTCCCTGAAGCTGTGCATGCCACCTCTCCTTAGAGCACACCATATGAACCCAGAGTAATACAGAAGAACCATAAGTTTTGTGGAAAAAAACCTGGATAATCAAACTTGGGAAAAAAAAAAGAAAAGTGTCGAAATTTAAGGAATAGTTCACTGGAGTTAGGCTCTTATTTATAATGAGGATTTCTGTCTTTTTTTTTTTTTTTTGAAAAAAGCTGGACCTAAAATGGATGATGTGCTGCTTTACTTAATACTATACGTATACTGATATTATATTAAAAGCTCATCATTATACTTAGAATACACAAATAACTCGCACATAGGAGAGAGAAGCTTATGACGACATTTCAGTCTGACTTGGACCATTTACAAAGTAGGTCCAAGTCTGACTGAAATATTGTCGTAAGCTTCTCTCTCCGACATGTGGGTTATTAGTATATTGTTCCAGTCACGTTACTGTGCTTTTTTGCTCATCATTGTACTTAGAAATTCAGCTGACTATGTATTTTGTACTTTAACCTTGTAACTCATCAAGTTTATACCTGAATCTTTATAGCTAAAATTTCAAATAATAATTTTTTTCTTTTTATCAGCTGTAATTATTCTTTTAGCATTTTACATAGTCCAATTTTTAATATAGCCAATTTTTTTTACTACTCCATTTATAAAGAGCTGATTATTATTCATCTCTTGCATTTATTAGTCTGAGATTGAACTTAAACCTAATTGTGATTTCTACATTACGTATTTAAATTTACATTTCAGTTTCACTGGCCTATAATGACTTTTTTTATCAACACTAATGTTATTCCTCCTCTTTATATATATATATATATATATATATATATATATATATATATATATATATATATATATATATATATATATATATATATATATATATATATATATATATAATATTATATATATATATACTATATATATATATAATATATATACAGTGGACCCCCCTTAACGATCACCTCCAAATATGGACCTAATTATTAATGTTATTTATTAAGTGCGTTATGTACGATTTATGTTTGGGGGTCTAAATGGACTAATCTATTCACAATATTTCTTATGGAAAAAATTCGTCATACTGGCACCTGATAATACTATGAATGAAAAAAGTTTGTTAACCGGGTCCACGTATATATATATATATATATATATATATATATATATATATATATATATATATATATATATATATATATATTATATATATATATATATATATATATATTATGAAATAATATATATAATGATTAATACTCAATGACAATATATTATGTATTTATGTAATGTTTATATATATTTTGGGTAAATACATACATGTTTAATATCCTTATAAAATCGTTTTTGTTACTACCTAAAAACCATCCCTAATCAAACAAGATTGACTCAAAAATGTATACTAATATTCACCATCATTCATTTAATCACTGTATACCTACATGTGAGTTGCAGGGATTGTAGTCATTGCACTGGCCCATTACTCAACTTCAATCTGTCCAGTTTACTCCATCCTAGCCATTGAACCCTTTTGTACTGCTCTTAAAACTACTTAGGGGACCTAAAACTTAACCTTCATGGATATCATTTCACATCCAACCAACTCAGTGTACTGACATCACTATTCAGACTACCTATGACTTAACCTCTCCATCCTCCTTCAATGCAAACATGCCTTCCAACCTAGACTCTAAGTCCAGTAACCAGGCCTATTGTCTGGCAAAACCTCCATTTACTGTATTTTCTTATTCAAATAGCTTGTATTTGCTGCCTGGCCAGGATTAAACTTGTTGAATACTTTACAGTTATGAATTAAACTTAATTGATGCATTTTGCTGATAATAAATAAAGAATACATGTACATAAAATTTAGTGAAAAATATGCAAACTATTAAAACTGTTTGCATACATGATTAATGTCTATGTAATTAAATGCTATAAAAATTTAAGAATGACTCATAATGTAAGCAAGTATAAAAATTGTTAGTAAATCTGATTTTGTCAGAAAATCTATAGAGAGTGAATATATTAAAAATTAAAATATCATACTGACTATCTATATTTAACACACAATTCTCCAATAAGCAACAAAATGGTAAATACAATCGTCTCTTAAGCATTTCTACACTTCCTACTGACACTTCCATCATCCAATCTTATGTCTACACACACACACACACACACAACTTCCTACTGACACCTCCTTCATTCAGTCCTACACACATAACTTCCTACTGACATCACCTTCATTCAATCATGCACACATACAACTTCCTACTGACACCTTCATTCAGTCCTACACACACAACTTCCTACTGACACCTCCTTCATTCAATCATGCACACATACAACTTCCTACTGACACCTCCTTTGTTCAGTCCTACACACACAACTTCCTACTGACACCTCCTTTGTTCAGTCCTACACATACAACTTCCTACTGACACCTCCTTCATTCAGTCCTACACACACAACTTCCTACTGACACCTCCTTCATTCAGTCCTACACACAACTTCCTACTGACACCTCCTTCATTCAGTCCTACACACACAACTTCCTACTGACACCTCCTTTGTTCAGTCCTATACACACACACACACACACACACACACACACACACACACACACACACACACACACACACACACACACACACACACACACACACACACCACGCACACACACCTACCTTCCTGATGATACCTCCTTAAACTACTCTTAATCAGTCTTACAGACAACTTCCTGCTGATACTGCCTTCATCCAGACATTCTCTCACTACTTTCCTAATATACAGCACTATACTTCTGCCCTGATTTCTTTCCCTTATCCTTTTACCTCACATCTGCATGTGTGTCATCAATGTCAATGTGTTTATCAAATGCTCTCACCATCTATTGGTACACCATCCTTTTTTTTAAATGTTTCTTTATTACATATGAATTTTTTAACACACCAGCCATCTCCCATTGAGGTAGGGTCACCCAAAAAAGAAGAAAAACTTTCACTACCAATCACTACATCACTATCTTGCCAGAGGTACACAGATGTTACAGTTCAGGTGCCTCTCCAAACTGCAATATCTCCACCCCCTCCCTCAGAGTGCAGGTACTCCACTTCCCACATCCAGGACTCAAGTTCAGCTAATTGGTTTCCCTGAATCCTTTCATAAATGTTACCTTGCTCATACTCAAACAGTACGTCAAGTCATAAAGATCACTTGCCTCCACTCACTCCTATCATGCTCACACACACCTGCTGGATGTCCAAGCCCCTCTCATATAGACATCTAACAGGCGTATAAATCTTTCTTGTGTGATAAATCTCCATAGTCTGTCTTTGAAAAATTAGTATTTAATACCATTAACTTATATAATAACTCTGCATTACACTTCAGTAATAATGTCATGCCCTGTGATACTGCTATACTGTATGTGTATTTCAAACTTGGAATCTTAGCTTCTCTCTATACCCTTACAGCCTTCTTTGATTCAGATATACTGAGTGAAATTCTTAAACAATTCTACCTCTTTTCATATTGCACACAGTATTTGCTTTACTAAATTATGCCCTCTATGGCTTATTTACCTACAGTTTTTCTTCTGAATATTCTATCCAGTTCATTCACACTAATGCAAAGTCCTTCTGTTTCATCTACCAGAACAATACCCTCAAATCATAATGGTAGTTTCATGCTCTATCCTCTTCTAACCTTTTCTAATGCTACTCCTCTACATCATACCTCAGTACTGTCTAATCAATAAAACATTAATTAACCCTTTCACCACGTAAACTGCATATGGCCAATAAGAGTTTGTTTCCATTTCACTGTCTAAGTCTACATTTTTTCGACAGCCAGGAATAAGTGCTTTGAGCATTCAGTTATTTTCATTAAACTCTGCTCACTACACCAAGAAAGATTAGGGACAGTGAAGATCCTTCCTTCTACTGCTTACACCTTCAATGTACAAGAGGGCCCCACATTTTCAATGTCTTTCAATTGAGCCATTGTTCCACCTACTGGTGACTATCTCTGGTAGGTGGAACATAACGAACAATGGGCTCAGTTTGAAGCCAAGGACAACATGGAACAAACACTGAAAAGGTGCTTTTATGAAGGACTCTCCTGTATTCACTCAAACAGATGGGCAGTTCTACACCCATATTTGTGTTTCATACCATGAATAATGTAAGACATTAATACTGTAACTTAGACAATTGATAAAATATTGACTATAAATATAATTTATATTAATAGAGAAATAAACAACTAGCTTATGCTAACAAGAGGGAGAGTTGCATTTTGTACTTCTTCCTGTGCTTGCACTTTGTTGATAAAAATTCAGTCAGAGATGAACCTGATAGTTAGTATCAGGTTATTTTTTATAAAAAGTGTACTTTA